CTGAATAGTATAAGACAACACCTATTATTTAAGGTGCTTCTCCAGTGGTTCTCTACTTGAAAACACTTAGAAAAGTCTGAAGACAATTCTACAGTGCTACTGGCACCTAGCGGACAGAGGCAGGGATGCTGCTAGGCCAGCAACAGCAAAGGGGCTGGAGGCCAAAAGGGCACCAACAGCGCCAAGGAGGGGAAACAATGCCAGCGATTACAAGGGAAGATTCACCAAAGTCCACCCTGACTCTCCACACGCAGTCCCTGTGCTAAGGCTAGGAAGCATGGGCATCGTCCCTGCAGGGGGTGCACTGCAGCAGTCAGAATCCTCAGACCTGGCCTGGTGGGCAGACGCACTGTGCCCTCCACTAACATCTGCCACGCTATACCGGCATCATCACAAGACGGTGAAAACAGGCACCTTCTGGATGAGCTCTATGGGCCAGTCCTGCACTGTGCCGTAAGCTCTGCTATAAGTGTTTTCAGGCAAGCGGTTACATTGCCGTGAGTATCACCAGCTTGACATCCATCCTCTCCACTCTCAGGCACACACAGAGCCGAAGGCTGTGCTCTGTGGTCAGCAGCAATGCAGCTGTTTCATCATAAGAGTTCTGGAGCCTGGAACAGACAATCAGATGGCAGTCAAGGGAGAGCTGAGTTTATTCCTTGGTGGAAGAGGAAGTTATGTGATGTCTACAACTCACCCTAAAGAGTACGGAGATGTTTCTAAAGTGAGAACTACTTACTTAGCGCAGCCCCTCGAAGTATGTGACTGTGACATCCAATCCTGACACAGTAATATACGCATCTCACTGACCTTGCTCCTAACAGAAGGGAAGTGAACAAGCTGTCATGGAATTAAGAGAATCAAGTTACACCTGATCAAGGCTTACACATCCGCTGCCAGACAAAACTGGCTGCAGGAAGGAGCAGCAGCTGGCAGAGCCCAGCCCATGCCAGGGCCCCAGGGCCCCTCGGTCTCCCACTCCAGCAAAGACTGAACAAGTGCTGCCACTTGTTTTAATGGCTAGTATGAATACAGGGGTCTAAGTTTGCCTTTCTCCTTGAATGTCAGCATAGAAGATAGCTAAGTCAAACCCAAACATACATTTCAAACACCTTTAGAAATAGAAAAGAGACTGGGGAGAGAGCTCAGTGGAACAAGTGCTTGCCTGGCAAGTGCAAGTTCCTGAGTTCAATCCTTGGTACCACCAAAAACAAAACAAAAAAAAACTTTTTTTTGGGGTTGGGAAAAAAAAAAGAGGTTCTCTACGCACTGATACTTGGAAGATAACTAGAGAAATTATTGGTATTCAACACCATGCAGGATTGTAGGACCTAGACCCAAAAGCTGCGCTATATACTCACAAGTGCCATGCTTTAGAAACGAATGCCAGCTAACTGACTCCTAATGACAGGATTCCAGGAAAGCGCAGACTCGCTGTGTGCAATGGCCCCGCCCCACACAGAGCAGACTGCCCTCCTGTGGTAGGTAGGGCAGCACAGGCTGGGGGTTGAACGGGGTCTAGTTTCAACGCTGTTTGGTCACACACTAGCTACTATTTGTCTTCGATTATAGTGACATACCCATGTTTACTAAGCTTCCTTGTCTATAAAACGGGGTACCAGTGACTCACTGGCAGGCTCAACTCCACTGCCAAAGAGCTTAAGCGAGCCAGAGCTCGCAGGGAGCTCTCCTCTCAAGCGTCTTGTTTTATTTTGATTTTATTTTAAAGAGAGCAAAAAAATAAAAACAATACAGAATGTCAGAACAAGGTGATGGGAAATTAACAATGGCTATTATATTACACTTTCCTTCAAAGTAGTTGCTCAGATGCTTGTTCATTCCTTCTGAGCAGCTGCTTTCCGTTTACAGTACCTATTGTGCCTTTTGGATTTATTCACTCATTCAGTTTCTTACACTAGAGAGACAATATGATGCTTTCGCATGGGAGTGATTTATTTCATTTATAAGTATGGTCCTGGTTGCATCCATTTACCTATAAAAGCCTTGAGTTTATCTTGCTTTAAAGCTGAGAGATACTCCATTGTATAAAAACACCACATCTTTTTTATTCATTCCTCAGTTGATTGGCATTTGGGGTGTTTCCAAGATTTAGCTAAGACAAATTATGCTGCTATAAACACGGATGCACACGTATCACTGTGGTATGTTTTTTTAATTCTTCTGGGAAAATTAAACCCAGAAGATTAGCTGGATTGAACGGGAGGGACTTGCTATGCAGTTCAAGCTAGCCTAGAACTCACTGTGCAATCTGGGCTGGCCTCGCGCTCATGGAAATACTCTTGCCTCCGTCTCCCTCTCAAGTGCTGGGTCACAAGCACGCACCGCTGTGACCAGCTCGTGTGTTTTGACGTTTGCTCCTCTAGCTCTCTCCCCCAAAACTTCCTTTGTCCCCTCCAGTGCCTGGATAAAGCTAGTTCATTTAATAATCTTCATTACCGTCTTTCTCCCAGAAGGCTGCCTGATACCAGTTAAGAGTTCTGCCTGCTCCTGTGCTTCCTCCTTCAATGATGGCCTCTATCACATCTTACCTACCATTCTGCTTGGCCTCCCCCTAGGCTGGAAACTTCCTAAGAGTTCTTTATGAATGAAATATTTCCACAGTGTCTGTAAACACATTCTAACAGATTTAGTAAGCAAATGAACGAAAGGTCTTGGCAAAGGAAAAAAGATAAGGGATGTTCTTCATAACACAAGGTTTCAGTTAAAGGAAATCAGTAACATCAAATACAGCAAAGAAATGAAATTTAAAAAAAAAAAAAAAAAAAAAAAAGACCACAAACCTCTAAACTGGGTTCCTAGCAGCTTTCTGAGAAGTGTTTTGAATGTCAAACATTAACTGGCCCAGGCAATGAACAGAGAATCAGGGGAGGGTCTTCTTTTGAGTGGTGAGATATCACTGGCCACACCTAGACAGGAATAAGCCAGACTAGAGGCCTTTGGGGAGCCCAGACTCCAAAAGGGAGCCAAGGAACAGGATTTCTGAGAAACAAGGATTGTGGTCAGTCACAGAAAAAAAAATAGAGTAACTTCCGTGAAATCACATGGCGTGGTTACAATGACCTTTTCCTGGGCAGGTCTACATTTTGAACACAGAGGGCGCTGTTCACCTATCCCCAAGTCACGGCACTGAAAGACACAGGGAGGGCCCAAGGTCAGGGTGCAAGTTCATGCCACATTGTTTCCTGATTTTGAAATATTTCAAAGATAAAAAAGTAAAAATATAAAGCCTGAGGGCTGGCAAGATAGCTCAGTGGTCTACACTCCTGCCTGGCAAGCACATGGACCAGGTTCAATCCCCCTGCAACTGATGTCACGAGGGTCCCACCCCTGGGATGCACTAAGCAAGCCACCAAGTCCCAGAGTGGTGGTGCACACCTGGCATCCCAGCACTGGGGAGGCTGAAAACAGGAGGATCACTGTGAGTCTGAGCTGCGTCGTGAGATCCTGCACCAAATACATTAAAAAATTATATATAAAATTTATTTAAAAACGAATACTGTTAATATCAGTGCACTAAGAACTACTATGAACAGCAATTCAAGTTGAACACCCCTATTTCAAAAATCTAAAATCCAAAATCAAAGGTGTTGTTTCTTTTTTTTCACTTAATACAAGGGATACAGGGTCTACAGGGTCTCACTACGTATATCCGACCCGTAGTGATCCTCCTGCTGTCAGCCTCACAAGTGCTGGGATTACAGTCTCATCTCAGTGCACCCCAAGGCTGGGGCCGGCACGGGAGGCCAGGGATTGAACCCCGGCTGCTCCGGCTCTGCCTAAGCAGGTGCTTTAGTCCACTAAGCTATCAGGCCGGCCCCTAAAATCTGAAGGTTTTGAACAATGCTATGTGCAAGTGGAAAATTCCACACCTGACCTTATGTGATGCATCTGTCAAAACACAGGCCTGCTGACAGTACTCTAGAAAACACCTCTCAGGTTGTGTGTGTAAGGTATACATAGAATAGAAATGAATTCTGTGTTTCCAATGGTGCTTCATCCTAAGTACACCTCATTATGAATATGCAAGTACTGCAAAATTTAAAAAAAAAAAAAAAATCCAAAATGTGACACACTTCCAGTTCACAACATTTCAGAGAAGAGATGACCAAACTGTACTAGGCACACCTGATTCCGAACTTCCTAAATCAGCGGAGGGGCTGAAGTCCACCCGGCGTCCCTCCCCTCCCCTCCCCACAGAGGCCAGCGCTGAGGCGAGTGCCTTGTCCCCCACCCACCCATGCTCACTTCGACCCTGGATCACACACATTATTTTTCCACAGAGCACTTCACCTCTGCTGTTTCTAAAAAGAAACAGAATGGGATTATTCTGTTCATTATTATTTTAGGAGTATTCCATGTAAATATAGAATGACTGTTAGTTGTTTTCAGCAGGTTTCTATAAATGTATCTATTTGCACTCTCACGAAACAAGGTAGGAGGGTGATGATAAAATCTGTAAGGAGCTAAGGAGCAAAGTCTAAGAAAGAACCAAGCTTTCAGGCTTACCTACAAGATCATTTCCCCTGCCTGCCTGAAGTCCTAACTGCAGGAAAAAGAAAATCAAGTGTTTGACCCATCTCACTATTTACTAAATACCACCTTGCGCTGGGCCAGCTGGGTAGGGATCTCCCTCACTGCTTACAGTGGGCCCTAGGTCAGCACGTATGTGTCAAACTTCAGACCTACAGAATCTCAGTGTTTGTTTTTACAAACCAAAGTACATGCCTGTTAAAGCTCGGGGAGTGCTGGTTTAAAGAAATAACAGCCTAAACCAAGGCAGAACCAAAGCCAGCCACCAATGGGCCCAATTCACCTTCTACCAGTGAGGCTAAGCCTTCCAGAGTAAGTAGAATAGAACAATAACAAGCGCACATGCTGGAGTGTTTTACAGTTACAGAAGCTGAATTTTAAAAGTATGAAACTATTTCTCCAATAACAGTCAGGTGCTTATTGAATTCTTCCTCGTCCTCCTATAACAGAAGCCGTGAAGACAAAACACTCTGGCTGCACAGAGCCCACAAGTGCTCAGCAGGAAAATTACTCACTGAAAGGAGACTGAACTTTATGAAAAAACAAAAAATCAAAAGGTAATTGAAAAAATCCTTCTAGCATTACCAAGAGTTCTACTAATGTCATCCAAATGTTAGCAAGAGATAGTTCTCTTCTTTAGCCAAAGAACTATGTACATAAGTAGGATGGTAGGAGGTGGGCTCTAGACATGTAAGAGAAAAGCAGGCCAGTCAATGTAAAAGCACATAAAGTGAAAGATGAGCTCCAAGCCAACTAAGCAAACGTTTATTAAGATGAATGCACTTCTTGGATAAACTAGACTTCAGGTACGTTTTAATCAAATTCTATTGAAAAAGAGACCCCTGGTGTTCAAATGTGCTCTGCATGAAAACACAATGCAGCACAATCCTGAGACCTCATGCTGCTCAGAGGACACGTGTGCTCAGGAGCTAGGCCAGAAGAAAGCCTCGGGACTGGCACTCTTTCTAGCTGGGGGCAGGGCGAGGGAGGGAAAGGCATCCACAGGATGCTCCTACTACCTTGCCCTTGGTCTCATAAGCCTGTCCTGCCCTAGGGCTGGACTATGGGACCACAGACTCCAAAGTGTCCATAGATCGCAGCTGAGGCATTCTGTGTCATTCATTCATTCTTGTCTACCTAAATTCATCCAACAAGGAGGATTTCTGCCTAAGAAAAACTAGAAACTTACCCTAGTCGGCATACCTTCTTAGGAAGTTTAGGCACAAAGAGAAATATTTCTTAGATATAATTTAGGAACCCTGTTTTATTTTCCTAAAACCTCAAGGTTAACATAATGACCACTTTCAGTACAAAAATTCAGTGATGGGCCAGCCAAATAGCTCAGCAGATTAAAGTGCCTGCAAGTAGGCTCAAGGGCCCTGGGGTTCGATCCCTAGGCCTACCTTGCTGGCCCCACCCCCAGGGCACGTTGAGACTGCAGTTGAGACTGGGCATGGTGGCAAGGGCCTGTAATCTCAGAATCTGGGAGGCTAAAAACAGGAGGATCACTAAGAGTCCAATCTGTGTAGTGAGACCCTGTACACCCTGCACTAAAATAAAAAAAAAAAAAAACCATGCTTTACGGCAGACAGCTTAGTAGAATAAGGGCCTATCTGGCAAGTGCAGGGTCCTGAGTTCAATTCTTGGTACCGCAAAAAAATAAAATAAAATAAAAACCTTACTATTTAAGACCTGAAAAATTACTACTACCTAGGCATGGTAGCACATGCCTGTAATCCCAGGGCTTGGGAGGCGAGGCAGGAAGATTGCCCAGCCTAGATTGCAGAGGAAGATTCTGTAGAAAGAGAGGGAGGAAGACAAAGAGGAAGTGGAAGAGGGAGAAGAAGAGGGAAAGGGAGAGTGGGAGAAAGAGAGGGGGAGAGGGGGAGGGGGAGAAGGGGAGAGGGAAAGAGGGACAGAGGGACAGAGAGAGAGGGACAGAGGGAGAGGGAGAGGGAGAGGGAGGGGAAGGAGGAGAGAGAGGGAGGGAGGGAGGGAAGGAGAAGGATGGAGGGAGGGGAAAGAAGGCAGGAAGGAGAAACAGGAAAAAAAATTGCCACCAAATATGTCATGGGATTTACTTTCACCTCATTCATTCTTGAAGCAGTATCCCTTTAAAACAAATCCATTTGCTCTGCCATGACTCTTGGCTGAAGCAAGACAGTAAATAGTCTTACCTCAGTATTCAAAACAGCCAAAGTAGCAAGACAGCATTTGGTGAAGGGCTCGAGCATGCTATGGTATTTTAGCCTTTTATAAACCTAAAGTTTATCTGGGTCAGCTCAGTTCCTCCTAACAAAGGGAAGGTGGTGGAAGATAACACTGGCGATGAAAAGAGCTGGCTCGGTGGCCCGGGCATAAGCACCTGCCGGGCACGCGCAAGGTCCCGAGTCTGATTAGCACCCTGATGTCTCGTAGTGTCCTGTTCTGGACCAACAGTGTCCCACCACAAACAGGCATGCTGCAGCTCAAACTGTGTAGCCAAGGCACTCTGGAGACTGAGACAGGAGGACCACGTGTTAAGCCCAACCTGAACAACTAGACAGACTTTACTAGTCACTGTCTCAAAATAAAAAATAAAGTAAAATAAAGTGGGTTGGCATTGTAACTGTGTGAAAACCTTGGGCTCAATCCAAAGTATAATGCCCCTGCTCCCAAAAAGGCAGCCCCAGACCTAGATGAGATCTGCTGCAGCTCGAGCTTATGGAGTCAGGACATTATCCTGAGGGCAAGGACAAGCTACTAGAAGGCTTTCAGCAGACAGCGGCCGATGCTATCCACATGGCAGAGAAGCAAACATTTGCACTGAGCATCAAGTAACTTTTTGAATAAATTGTCATCTTCCCTCTGCTCTAAATCAAAACTCCTCATATCCATGGAGAATAAAGAGGATGTCCTACTAACAGGAGGTTCTGGGGAAGCCTACGACAGAGCTACCAAATAAAACAACATGAGCCGCACATGTAACTTTGAATTTTCAAAAAGATGTACTATTGAAAAGTAAAATGAACGGAAATTAATAGTACATATGTACCTATATACATGTATACATAAGTACACTTAGATCAATACATATAAATATACATTTATAGGTATACATGTGCATACATACATGCATATTCATATGTGCATTTTATGTATATACACATGTGTACATATGTGCATATATATAATTTTTTTCTTTTTCTTTTGGCGGTACTGAGCATTGAACACTGAGCCTCACACTCTAGACAAGCATTTCACCCCTGAACTGCATCCTCAGCCCAATTTTTTTTTTTTTTTTAATAGGATCTTGTGGGCTGGCCAGATAGCTCGGGATTAAAGCACCTGTGTAGGCAGATGCAGGGGCCGGAGATTTGATCCCCGGGGTGCAGTGCTGGCCTGCCACTGGGGCGTACTGAAATGGTGACTGAGACTGGGCGTGGTGGCGTGCGCCTGTAATCCTAGCACTTGGGAAGCTGAAAACAGGAGAATCACTATGAGCCCAATCTGTACAGTGAGACTCTGTAGACCCTGTATTAAATTTAAAAAATAATAAAAAAAAAAATTTAAAAAAGAATCTTGTTCAGTTGGCTGGACAAGGATCACCCATTCTGGCTCCGAATTTATCATCTTCCCAACTCAGGCCACCAAGCAGTTAGGATTACAGACAAGTACTACCATGCCTAGCTGTAGGATTTTATTTAATGGAAAATTACTTAAAAATTATCATTCTGACATTAACCTATATTTTGAAATGTTCACATATTTTACTTTTTTTTCAGACTAAGCAAAACCCACTGTGCGTTTTATATTTATAACCTAGCTCAATCTGGAGTGTCTACATTTCAAATGTTCAATAGGTAAATACGGTAGATCTGCCAATGCAGATCTACAATGTAGCTTAGGGAACATTCTCTAAAACTTTTATCATGTTTGTCTTTGTTTTCTAATTTATAAAATAATACAATAATTTCTTGAATGGTTAAGAAAAAAAATTACAAAAAAATTTCAGTTTTGAAAAGTTATCCATAATCCCATATTAAAAACACTAGTTAACATTTGGCTCTATATACTTGTTAAGATACTGTCTTACGTCTGCAATTATGCAGGGCTGACTTTGTAAAAAGGTCTCAACAACTCCTTAATAATGTAATACTTGGGCTGGCGAGATAGCTCAGCGGACTAAGTACCTGCTTAGGCAAGCACAGGGACTGGGGTTCGATCCCTAGCATCACATGCTGCGTCAGCCTCACCCCTAGTGATACTGAGCTGGCTACCAAGTCAGGGTGTGGTGGTACATGCCTGTAATCCCAGCACTGGAAGGCAGAAAATAGGAGGATCACTACGAGTCCAAGCTACATAGTGAGACCCTGTACCAAATACATTTTTTAAAAAGTAATACTTAGGGGGCTGGAGAGATGGCTCAGTGGTCTAAAGCACCTACTTGAAACAAGCTTGGCAAAGCATAGGGACCTCG